TCGCCGTTGAGTTTGGCTTCAAAGCGGAAAGTACCGTCGAGAGGCCAGGAAGGCGTTCGCTAACCTAGTCAGCGCAGGATCCTTCCCACAACGGGTGTGGACCCGACTAGCTCAGTCGCAGGAACAGTATAGCAGTCGGGCCCCGAGCCCCAACCCTGCGGGGAAGAACGATGAGATGTGACAATTTGCGGAGTCCCTCCGGATCCCCGTCGGCTCTGACGCTGCGCCGATCAAGGTTCAAACGCGTCATCGAGGGATACATCCAGGAACGACGCACGGCGTCTGGGTGCCGCCAGGAGATGTTCGCCCAGCCACCGGCCTACAGGAACAAAATGTACGAGGTAACACGACTCCCAGTCAGCATTTGCTCCCCGAGAAGATGCATAAGTGGAACCTGCGGTTCGACGGTAGCTCAGATCCGTTGGCTCTCGTCGCCGCACTCAAGGAAAAGATGACGACATAAAGGATAAATCCGGATGAGATCCCCCGGGCTATGTCCGAAATCTTCGAGGGCCCGGCGGCACGGTGGTTCCGCACTAGCCATCTGCAGTCCGCCTCTTGGGAAACTTTCCGGAGGGAATTCCTGGATTTCTTCCTACCTCCTCGATATTTCGAAAGATTAGAGGATGATATTCGTACTCACATGCAGAGGAAAGGAGAGTCTTTCAAAACAAAGATGCAACAGGCCGGGTACCGAGAAGAGGAAGAGTTGTACCGAGCATACGAAAACATGGCTCCCGAATATCGGCTGTATATCAAGCGCGGCGAATTCGCGTCATTGAAGCAGCTGACCCACATGGCTACCAAGTCAAACAACTCGAGTTGATTCGATGTGGAACCTCATTACCTCAGTTAAATGGTGTTTCTGAAAGAATGAGTGGAACCATCACAGAAAAAGCTCGTGCCATGGTAAATGGTGCACAACTTGACAAAAGTTTTTGGGGTGAAGCAGTGATAACTGCAACTTGCTTAATTTATCGAATTCCAAGTAGAGCAATAGTTAGTAGCGTGATGACCCCTTATGAGATTTGGCACAATAAAAAGCCCGATTTAAATCATTTGAGAGTGTTTGGTGCAACTGTATATGTGCACAATAAAATCAAAAAGGGAAAGTTTGATGATAAATCTTGAAAAGCTATTCTAGTAGGCTACGAAGCAAATGGACATAAACTATGGGATGCTGTAAGAGAAAAATTTCTCGTTGCAAGAGATGTGGTTGTCGATGAAACCAATATTGTAAATTCTAGAGCTGTTGAATTTGAAAACAGCATTCATTAAAGATAGTAAGAAAAGTAAAAACAAAAATATCGCGAATGAAAGTAAGGAAATTAAAGAAACAAAATTCCCGAATGAAAGTAAGGAATGCGACAACACACAAGTCCCGAATGATAGTATGGAACAGGATGAACATTTCCTGAATGAGAGTAAGAAACGAAAGCGAGATGATCTCCTGAATGAAAGTAAGGGATCAGACAACCCGAATGAGAGTGGGGAAATGAAACAGAAAATGGATCTGATAAGAATCCAATTTGAACTTATGGTATTGAAATAAAGAGTAGAAGAAGTAAGAGATTAAAAACAAAGCCCCAGATATCATATTATGAAGATGATAATAGTTCAAATAAATTGTATTAAATGCTTACACTATCTTCAGCGATGTTCCAAATACATACTATGAAATTCAGTATAGGAATAATAAATTGTTTTGGGAGGACGCCATAAAAACAGAGTTGAGTGCTCAAGAACTAAATATTACCTGTACAGTCACAGAAAGAACTAAACATAAAAACATAGTAGATAGAAAATGCTTAATGCGTTAAATATAACGAACTACGAAGGTCTGCTAAATATAAAGCTAGATTGGTTGAACGAGAACTTAGTCAAAAATACCAAGGCGATTATGAAAAAACTTTTGCTCCTGTAGCTAGAATTTCCAGTTCTCGATATGTATTATCGTTGGAAGTACAATATAACTTGAAAGTCCATCAAATGGATGTAAAAACTGCATTCTTAAATGGCATATGCAAGCTGCATATGCTAAAAGAATCTTAAATAAAATTTAACAGGAATAATTGCAATGCAGTTAGTACTCCCTTACCAAACAAACTAAACTATGAGTTACTTAAATCAGATGAAAACTGCAATGCTCCATGTCGTAATCTCATAGGATGTTTAATGTACATAATGTTATGAACAGGTCCAGACTTAACTTCTTCAGTAAATATCCTGAGTAGATATAGTAGCAAAATTAATTTCGAGTTATGGCAGTGCTTAAAAGGGTTGTTGAAGTAATAAGCTTTTTTATTAGTTATTGCTAAGTTAAAATACGAATTTCAGGTTGCTTTAGGCTTGTTAACTATTTATTATATATTTTTATTTTATTTATTTATTTATTAGCGAGAGAGGAGTGCAGCAGGCGAGACGAGAATGCATTGATGTCGAGATCAGAATTCGTACTACTTTTACAAAGGGACAGCCAGCCGAATGCTCGGCCCAAGAATGCAAGTACACAAAAAACGAAAGAGCTAGATAGAGAGAGTTACCTTTCGCGATGCAATTAATATAAGAGATCGAATTAAGTTAACTAGCTGCTGCGGCTGCGTGACCCGACATACTCTCCCCGTTTGAAGCCTGGGTTTCAACATCATCCTTAAGGGGAAGCAGACACAGCTTGTTTACTGCTGCTTTGTTCAGAACGGTAACTCGAGCAACCCCATCTCCACCGAACAGAAGCTCGATCATTCTGGCAGGGGCCACTTCATGGGAGGCAAGTTTTCGTCCTTGACCAGAACTAAGTCATCGACAACCCGGCCAGGTCTTGGGGTGCGCCACTTGGAGCGCTGCTGCAGTAATGTTAAGTATTCTTCCTTCCATCGGGACCAAAAGATCTGCTGCAAGTAAGCCACGCGTTGCCATCCATCCAAGCGATTGAAGTTGAGACTGGTCATATCCGGCTCGACGAAAGAGGAAGGCGGACCACCATTCATAAAATGTGCTGGGGTTAATACATCCAGATCAGCTGGGTTTCTGAAATCGAGAATTAACAACCGCCGAAATGTGACACACCAGGGTCCGCAACTCTTCAAAGGCTAAAACAGCAGTGCCAACAGCGCGGTAGAAATGATTCTTAGCGATCTTCACTGCCGCTTCCCAAAGACCGCTAAAGTGTGGCGACCTAGGAGGAATGAAACACCAATCAATAGCATCCGATAGGCAAAAGTCCAACGTAGCTCTCTGGTGATCACTGCTGAGGAATAGGCGCCTTAGTTCGAGCAGCTCATTGCGAGCGCCAACAAAGTTGGTTGCATTATCAGACCAAATCTGCCGAGGCCTTCTTCTAGTGCATATAAATCGTTTGAGGCCATGTAGAAACAGTACCGTAGAGAGATCCTTGATCAACTCCAAATGAATAGCCTTCGTGGCGAAAAAAATGAAGACACAAACGTAGCATTTTACTTAGCTGGCTTCGCGCCTCTGACTTGTACAAAAATGGCCCGCAGAAATCAATGCCAGTGACTTCGAACGCATGAGATCCATCAAGTCGCTCCTTTGGAAGATCCGCCATGATATGCTACACTACTCGAGGCTTCATTCGAAAACATCTAAAACATTTGTTTACCGCCTTCATAACCGTCTTCCTCCCCCCAATAGGCCAACATTGGGATCGAATTATGCCGAGTAACGCCCGTGGCCCAGTGTGCAGATTGCGTTCATGAAAGTGAGTTATAATGGCAATAGTGACCGAATGACTACGTGGTAATATAATTGGATGACGCCCATTAAAATCCAGAGAAGAATTCATTAGCCGGCCATCCACGTAAAAATCGCGACGAATGACCTCAGCCCCAAGCGGAAACGCTGTATGTCGTCTGCTGACAACTGATGCATAGCTCGCACAGCCAGAAATGATGTTGGCTTCGTGCCATTGGTAACGGTGTCTATCTTAAACACCCGCAATTGGTCCTGGGGGGAATCCCTCCACAAAATGCATTGCAAATGGCTGTCCTCAGCCTGAACCCTAACACAACGGTACGTTTTGCAAATGTCTCCTGTGATTGCTACACTGGTAGAAAAAACGCGTAGTGAAATCAAATATATTTTTATTTGTTTTTTTTACCTCCCTGCATAGTCATACTAAATATAAAAACCTTTCATTTAAATAAAAACATATTTAAGCCTTATGTCAAATATGTAAACATTCAAATCAAAGTGATTTTTATTTAAAAACGAGTTAGTCACATTTAAACTCAATGTTGCCATCTTGGTTTTAACTATTATAATAAGTAGTTAAATTCATAGTATATTTGATGGTTTTTTATATTTCAAGTAAATACTTTTTCAATTTGTTCGGAATATTTACTCTTCTATTTTAAATATAGAACGTTTTAAAAATTTGTATTTGACCAAATAATTGTAAATTATAAATCAAATTACATAGGTATGTATGTATGTGTATTAAGTTTGTGACCCATATACTCAAAATAATTTAAATTATTAGTAATTTTCAAAAGAACAATATATATAAATAAAATAAATAATAATATATAATATAATATAAAATAAATAATAAAATAATATTTAAAGAAAAGGGTTTTAGTTACGGCTGCCCAACGACCGGCAGCCTCTTTCTATTTCCATGACAATTAACATAAGATTTGGCTTTGTAATTTACTATTAAAAGTACAAAAACATGCTTAGCCAAAGAAAAAATGTGCGTGCATTGTAAACGCTGGGCCGTAACCAAAAACTAAAACCAACGGCACAATGTGCATACTTACATACATACATTCAGACAAATTAGAGACAAATATGAACAAGCACAACGGCAAACGCAAGCGCGTCTTCTTCTTCCATGCGCATTTGTACATTGGCGGTCAAGAAAATATGTATGTGCATAAGAACATAAATATTTCTTGTGTACCGATGTTTTGACAATAAGATATGTTCTTATTATATATAAATATAATAAAATAAAATAAATGATACTAAATTGACATATACAAGTTATTAAACTTAAGGACTTATTTGTACATATTTTCTTATTTTCTTCCCCATTACTTTGACCTCTATTGTAAAGTAACGGCACGCGACAGATTTTGTGCGTCCTTTTTGCACACATGCATATGTATGTATGTATATACGAAATAGTTTGACACTCCGCTTTGTAGCGAATCCCGCGATCACTTCGAAGCAAGCGGTTCTCCTGATCGGATGTAAAAGCGATTAATAGAGCTCGATATACAAGTGTTCATTTAAGTGTAATAAAAAAGTGAAAAGTACTGAAAAAAGGTGAGTCAAATAAAAATACAATAATTACTTAATATTAAGGCATGTGCATGTCCACGTTTTTTTTGTCGCATTTTTCCTTTTTGAGTTTCTTCTTTGTTGAGCGCGTTGTTATTTCGTGAAAATTTAGATAATACATTTAACGAAATAAACAAAGCTCAAAAGAAAATTACATTTAAAAACAATAAAATATATGCGATTGGGTAATAAACATGAAGTGGATAAAAAATACGCGAAAGAAATGAAGAATATGAAAGGAAGTTAAGTGAAAACGCGCGAAAACTAGATAAAAGGAGTAGAATGCACGAGAAGGAAAACACTAAAAAGACGCAAAAGACGCAAAAAGACGCTTTGCTGCCGTTGCATTCGGTTCTGTGGCGTCGCAGTCGTTTCATCTATTTCTTTATAATATTTTTTGGTTCTTTCACATGATTTTTCTTTAAATGTAACTAATTTTCAAATTAAAAAAAAAAATAAAAAACGAAATAAATTAAAACAATATTATTGTCTTATTTAAATCCCTTTATATAAAAACACCTACTCGAAACTTATTATAAAACTAATTAACTTTTTCTTTATAGCAACTATAGCAATTTTATATATGGGACCCATTTAAGGAAAAGGTTTTTTGCTTTTACGAAGAGCAAATGCAAAACAAAGAGCGACTTAAACTATTAAAGACAGTTCAGAAAACAGTATCACTTGGTAATGTATAATTTTTTTAAATTTATAAATTTTATCTTTTTATGATAAGCTTGACTTTTTCTTAATTATGCCATTACCAAAAATCTAATAACATATTCTTATTCACAGATTACAAGGACTACATTAACACCGTATTGCTCACATCTGTCATCTTAAATAATTCGTGGACCGTCATTAAAGGAACCAATAAGCGAAAGAAATTATCACTACTATGACTCGCAGGAAAGTTTTGTACGCACATGCAGACGTACGAATGTGGGAAAACAAAAAAAATGTGTGATTATAAAAAATATGTATAATAATGTATAATATGTATACGTATATATGTATCATATAAATTCTAAGAGTTACGTTAAGTACAAATGTATTTAAAACAAAAGTAATGATGACGTGTTAGCATGGTAAAAATAGAGTTTAAGCAGAACAATTGTTTGGATTATAAGTTTACGTTTATTTTCAATAAAACCACATACTTATTTGGTTCTTTATTAAATATAAATCACGCTTGTTTTAAACTACAGATTGGTTTAAATTGAATATGCACCATAATAGTGTGGTTTAAATAATACATTTAAATCAAACATAAATTACAGTTATTTTAACGGGGATTATATTTAATTTAAATAAATTTGTATTTGTATTAAAGTTCATCCCAGTCTGATTTAAATATGAGATTTATTTAATCCAAATAAAACTATGCTGAGTTTGAGGGCGGGCTATAATTATTTTAAATATAAAAACCATTCAAATGAAATATTCTATTTACTGGAACTAAATATAAAATATTTAAAATAAATATAAAAATATAATACTTTTACTATGGAGCATATTTAATTTAATTATTTTGTACTATTTTAACATATTTGATCGAAATTAAAAAGTCGTTGGATTATACGAGATATCAATTAACTATTACGTTTTCGTTTTTACGATTTTCATGTTAGGTTCTAAACCGCTGGGAAAAATAGTTGAAACGTTGGCGAAATAGTGACATTTACGATGTTTTTTCTACCAGTGTACTGGGTGTGAACGAAACCGAAGAAGAATCTGGAACAAGAAGTATCGGCACAACCCGATGTCAGCGGCAGAAACTGATGACATATGTCCAAGATCGAGGTATTCCTTTATGAATGCTGCATATTGAGCCTTCAAGGCTGGCTGACGATTCAATTTTCTCTCTAGGGACAAGAATCTTCGATAAGCTTTCTGGTAGGACTCTCCCAAAAGATCTAGATTGAACTTGGCAGGCAGCCGAACAGAATAATCACCAGCTGGCAAACGAACGACGTGTCTTACGAAATGTGCTTCACAGTCCAATTCTTCCTTAGTAGCGCGTATAATTGGCTCGGCGCAGCTTTCCACTTCCCAAAATCATCGACGAAGATCATCTAACCGATCGAAACTTTTCTCTTTACTAGCGAGAAGTACATCTTGAGACGACATTAAAGCCGAGCCATTGGAAAGGCCATAGCCTCCAGAAACAACCCAGCCCAGACGCGTCTTTTGAACTAGGGGCAATCCAGGAGGGAGCTTGATTTGGCCAACGCCCAACATCTCGGAAAAGAGGCTGGCTCCGATTAAAAGATCCACCCACTGGGGAGCATAAAACCTTGGGTCAGCTAACTGTATTTTTTTGGGTATGTTCCAGCTGCAATGTCGAAGCTGTTATGTTCGGAGCAATCACCGCGGTAATGTTGGCTGAGTATTCGGAAGTTCGGGACTGAATCGAAATATTGACCAAATGACCGTCCGTCACAAAACTGGAATCCTCTATTCCAGTTACGGATGCTGAAGATTTTGTTTCTTTACTATAAGCTGAATTGCGAATCGGGACGTTATTAAATGCAGTTGGGAGCCCGAATCGAGTAGAGCTCGACAGGGAACGAAAACCCCGGAACGGTTTTTTACTAAAACGCTAGCCGTTTCTAAGAGCACAATATCATTACTAAATTCCTGTGCAATAAGAGCAGTCGAAGTGGAAGGCAGCGCAGAGGGTGAGGCGGAGGGAAGTGCTTCTTGAAGATGTGCTCCTTCTTGTGAAGGAAAGGAAGGTGAGTTTCCCAGGTGAAGCAGGGTGTGGTGCTTAGATCCGCATGCACGACAACTACTGGAGTTGCATTTGCGAACTTGATGACCAACCTTAAGACAATTTATGCAAAGACTGAGCTGTTTCGCTTCTTGAAGCCTATTCGCAGGAGACAGGATTTTAAAATTCTGACAATAAGAAATGGAATGCCCCGTATCATTACAGAATATACAAATCCAAGGGTTAGCATTCGAGGCAACAATTGCTGATCTACGCGCATTGGGTATTCTGTTACTTCCCACTTGATTGCCGGGCGCATAGTTTGCCATGGCGAAATCCATAGTCTCCAACGTCTTGCATCGCTGGTTCAGAAATGATGCCATTGACTTCCACGTATGAATTAAATTGATGAAAGCAGGGTCCTCTAAACGCTCTTCCCACTTTGCCTGACTTGCCGGATCCAACTTTTGGAACAGGACTTGGACGATGATGCATCCTGCGATTTGTTTCGTCGTGCCCAATCATTTGAGAGCACGAATATGAGCGTTGAATTTATCGAACAGCTCCCGAAGTGTCAAGAAGGAACCACTCTGCACCGCCTTAAGTCCCAGGATCTCAGTATTGTGTGCCTGAAAAACCAAACGTCGATTATCAAATCTGCTTTTCAGCAAATCTAAAGCAATTGCGTAGTTGCCATCCGAAATTTCCAATGAGCGAATAGTTTCCAACGCTGTGTCCCTCAGGCACGATCGTAGATGCTGCAGCTTTTCTACGTTGGTGAGGTCTGGATGACTATCTATGATTGTGGTAAACATAGAATAAAAGTCAGACCAATTTGCATAACCTTCAGCGAATTTTGGAAGCTCCAGTGGGGGCAGCAATGCTGCCCTATGTCGAGGCTGACGCTGCTGGGTGCCGAAAACTCCCGGAGTGATGCCGTCAGCAAAAGTTGAGTGCGAAAGAAGCTGTGAGGCGCGCTTTGAAATTTCGGATCGAACCGATGACTTCAGAATTACGAGAATGTCATCAAATTTCTCACTTATATCACTTTCAATTTCCTCGAAATCCAATTCTTCGAACTCACCGAGCACCTTTTTAAATGACTCTTGAAGCTCATCAATCAACTCCAACCTCACATGAAGACCGGATTCGTCGCATGAAGTTAATGCCGCACTTGATAGGGAATTCACTAAGCGCTCCACTCTATTAAATAAAGCCGTTGCCTTCAGCTTTAAAAATATTGCCCTGTTTGCATCAGCGGTAACATCTCCAAAAGTTCCCGTAGGCATGGCTACAACAACAGCAGACGAAATGCCCGAAGTCCGGCTCCAGCGGGAAGATGAGCGCAAAGCAAACAAGGGAATAACAGCCCGTTACTTGGCTATGTACGCTTCTATGTAAAGCTGATTTTGCGCCTTATATGTAAATTTCCGCAATCACCAACTGCTATTTATTTAAAGCGCTCACTGCATTTAAGGCCTTATGATTGTTGATCCGCCAATGCACCGCAGCCGCAAGAATGAAAAAAGTCAATAAATAGACTTATATGATTTTCAATTAGTATTATTTATGCACAAATCACGTCGGGGTCACCAATGTTGAACTAATGAGATTTTTATTAGTTATTGCTAAATTAAAAAATACGAATTTCAGGTTGCTAGCGAAAGAGAGTACAGCAGGCGAGACGAGAGTGAATATAATGTCGAGATCAGAATTCGTACTGATATTACAAAGGGACAGCCAGCCGAATGCTGGGCCCAAGAATGCAAGTACACAAAAAACGAGAGAGCTAGATAGAGAGAGTTACCTTTCACGATGCAATTAATATAAGAGATCGAATTAAGTTACTTAGCTGCTGCGGCGTGACCCGAAAAGGGTCCTTAGGTATTTGAAGGGAACTATTGAAATGAAACTCATTTTTAAAAGATATGCTGAGTTTAAAAATACATTAATTGGTTATGTAGATTCTGACTGGGGAGGAAACGAGATTGATAGAAAAAGTACAACATTCAGAATGTTCGAATTAAATTTAATTTATTGGAACAGAAAGAGGCAGAACTCAGTAGCAGCCTCATCAAATGAAGCTGAGAATATGGCATTATCTGAAGCTGAAGGGAAGCGTTGTGGCTAAAATTTCTTCTTAGTAGTGTTAAAATCAAAATCGAAAATACAATTAAAATTTACGAAGATAACCAAATATAGAAAATAATCCCTCATGTCATAAACGAGCCAAACATATTGATATCAAATATCATTTTGCCAGAGATCAAATTGAAAGTCACACCATTTGTCTTGAGTATATTTCTACAGAGAAGCAACTTGCTGTTATCTTCACTAAGTCATTGCCTGCCGCAAAGTTCTTGGGAATACGACATTATTTGGGATTACTAACTAGCTAACTCACTCCCGCTCACTCTCTTCCGCTCTCTAACTCTCTTTTTTTACTTGCGTAGCTTTATTCTCTTTGCGCTGTGGCTCGGAATACCGCGATTAAAACTGTCTGATATTTAAAGAAATGCAAGTCGTTGATTTCGGCTGGACATCAGAGAATTTCGTGCCATTCGTGCGAGAATATTTTTCATTCAAAATGCCTTTGCTGTTCGGGCATGGTACGCGATGCAATCGACATGAGAAGTGGCTTGCGCTTTTATTGTGGCTTATAGAACCCAGGCAATCTCTATAAAGCTTACAAAGGCTTACGGAATTAATCCGGAACAGCCGTAGAAATACGGATCTGCTTGTGGCGCTTGAGTCGCAACTCACTAGCCGTTTGCTATCTGAGCCCGATTCTCCTAAGCGTAAAAAGATCGCGGTCGATAGACAATCCACGGAAGCCGCTAATGTAACTGACCTGGCCTTTCATCCGTGGACATTACTAAAGGCCGATACCCGTAACAAAGATCAGATTGATGATCTATAGGTTTAACAATTTAATTTTCCATATGCTAGGGAAGTATCATCATTTTAGGTCGGTATTTCTTGTGCTCATTTTGCAACTATGTGCTCAGCCAATTTTTGGCCTGTAGGCATTTTTGATAAGGAGTACGAAGCTAAAAAATAGAAATTTCGTTCAATGGAAGTTGGAAATCCCTAAAAAGAGCCATCCACATCTACATCTTCGTCTAACTCAAAAAACTAGATTTTTTCCACCTGCTTTCCTATCAGAATACAAGAGGTTTTCAAAGTTAGTAAGTACTAATAGTTTTTCCATGTCTTCCAATGATATTGTGTTTCCAGAAACCTGGTTAAAACCGGAAATTCTTAATTCCGAAGTCTTTCCAAGTAAGTACACAACTTACCGTCCACGTCCGTCCTGACGTGGAGGTGAAGTTTTAATTCCAGTTGACTCAGAATTAACGTCTGCAGTAATAACGTCCAACGTAATTTATGACATTTAATTTCTGTGTATAAAAATATCCCTTCCGGGTAGTTCTATATACAATACATAA